TCTGGTGGGAGGAAAAATGCTGGCGGCGCCTTGCAAAAAGGAGTCGGGAGCAGTTGCCGGTAAGCGTGAAAAACAGCGCGCGCCCAAAAAGGGCGCAAAGCAACGGAAACCCCGCCTCCTGCACTCTCCAGCTGGGCTCTGCCCTAGGAAGGAGGCACTGGCAAACCATTTCTGAAACACCTTGCCTTGTCCAAAGCAGTCACTGCAGAGTCGGTAACGACTGACCACAGATAGATAGATAGATAGATAGATAGATAGATAGATAGATAGATAGATAGATAGATGATAGATAGATAGATAAAAATACTTTTTTAAAGTATCCGTACATCCCGGTATATACTCACATATAAGCTAATCCATGGATAAGCCGACTCTTGAATTTTTAACCAAAATACCATGAAAAATGCACCACTTGAGGATAAATCAATTGTGAAAATTAAAACATATGAATATTTCAGGGATCAGCTTATCCATGGATGGCACATTTTTCATGGTATTTTGGTTAAAAATTCAAGGGTCAGCTTATCCTTATATATAAGATAATCATATATAAAGGACCATATAAAACATTTATGTAGCTGGAGATCCAATTCTTGTTTTTTTAGAAAAAAATCAGCCTTTACAAGTTAGAATAGATATGGCTGATGACAACTGAATATCATCAGAATGGATGAAACTGGCTTTTCCCTCCCAACCGTGGAGAGTTTGAAAATGGGTTTTTATTAAATAGGGTTGTTAAACCTCCAGAGACCTAATACATCTTTTGTAAAATCATACTAAAAAAGAGAGAAAGAAGTGGAAATCATGCAACCAAAAATCATCCTTTTGATTCCAAATTTCAATAACACAATCCCAGGAATTCAGGGGCAGGAGGTACAAAAATAGGGCTAGAGAGGCCCAAATGCAGTCTATGGACTGTCTGTGTAATGTAAAAATCTTCCTTAGCTTTTCATCTTAAGGCAGTTATTTACATCACAAAGTCTTACATACTCAAGTTGAGAAGGAGATATTTAAAACCCTTTCTCTCAGTCCATTAGAAGCAAAAAAATAGATTTTTAGAAGATATACTGGTACACTACTTTATAAATATTGATATATATCCCTTTTAACCAATGTATCTCAGCTGTTAAATGGAAAGGCACTTTATTCCTCTTCAAATGTACTTTGAAAATTGGATCAGTGCAATAGGAAGTAAGTTTTCAAGAACTGCTTCATGTAAGATTCTACAGGATATTGGGATCCAAAAACAGAAAAACACCTGTTATAACAGCTGATGATTCTATTTGAGGCGTATACAAAATATTCATAATAGGCACTGAGAATGTCAAGCAAATGCTACCAAGTCAGTTGTACTGCTACTATTTTAGAGGCCTAGACCTCATCTGGAGTTCCTTATTCAGTGCTGCTGGATCTGTAACAACCTAGGATACAGAAGCTCTTAAAGACAGTTGACAGCAGAAACAGTAGCTGCCTTAAATATTTTAATGTGAGAGGTACATTTATTTTCACTCCAGTAAAAGGCAGCCAAACAAAACACTCTAATTATATAAAAATAAAAATTGTTATTACATGTAGATTACTAAGAAGAAAAGTAGCATTTTAGGTGATTAGCAGAGCTGCTGAAGAATCAGTTGACTAAATTTGTGAGAAAACTGTCTCATGGCAGCTGAAATGAGTTGAATGAATGAAATGAAAATGAAAAGACATCAGATTAAGGAAACTACCTTATACCACGTCAGCCCACTGCCCAGGTACTTTGTAATATATCAACCTGTGGCTCTCAGAATTGTTAAAATTACACTTCTCAATTTAACGAAGTATGGTCTTAATGGTTTTGGAAGGCTCCAGATTGAAAAACGTTAGCTTATAATCACTGCCAGCAGGTCTCCAGAGTTGCAAAGTCTTCCCATCATTTCCTTAGATGGCTTGGAACTGAACCTCTAATCTTTGCTATCCACCACGCATCATTAATCTCATACCATTACTGTATTACTTCTGTAACATTACATTTTCCCTTAACAGGGAAACAGCAAGTTTGTTTTATATATCAGCCCTTCAGACAACCTATGTCACACTTGCTATAATGTTTATTCAAACTTACCTCCATACACAATTCCAAACTGACCAGAACCAAGTACCTCATCAGCAAAGATCTGATACACTGAACTTATATCCTATGGAAAAAGGATGTAGACAGAAGAAAGCAATTAGTAGGTTCAGTCACTTGATAAAATGACACCATAACAGAAATTGGAATATCAACTATACATCATATGGCTAAAAGAGAGCAGAGTTGTGACATAGGTTCTGAAGATGAATTATGTAAAAGACCTGTTCAGACATGCAAGAACAGATTGCTTTTGGTAACTGAAGTTCATTGCACATTCACACATCTGAATTTGTTACAGTGCACAGTCTGTTTGAAATATTCTAGAGCCAAGCTGTTATTTTGGCAGCCCCGGCAAGAGACCCCTCCTCTACTGTGCATGTCAGGAGTGCTCCCAATACTTATACTCAGTTCTTTGAGACTGCCACAGAACATCCATGAAGAGATGACTGCCTAAACAAGGTTGGAGGATGGGACATGTGAATCCACAACTGAACACAGAGAATCACTGTTACAAGTAAACAATATGTTCTTCATTGTGGTCTCTGCATCACACCTCTGGATGACTAGCAAGCTATACTTCAGGCTAACAAAGAAGAGAAAATGGCATCTCCCAATACAGCATCCAATCAAGCCCTTTTATCCAGCTCTCAGATTAATTAAAATGAGTGCTTGAGACCAAGTAACAGCTTTATAGTCTATAGAATATTTTGCACCAGTTTCTGCATGCTCTTCAGAGGCAGTTCCAAGTAGCATGTGTTGCATTTCCCATTACCAATAGCCAAAAGGGAACAGAGATAAAAATAATGGCAGCAATTTCGGCTCTTTTATGACATAAAATGTTAGACCTGTTAGGCTTTTGGTCTGATCAGGCAACATAGGTTTTTAAGTGAAAGAATGTTGACAAAAATGTTATAAAATCTTCCTTAATCAGACCAAAGGCCTACCTAATCCAACATTTTATATCATATAGTAACCAACTAGGTACATCTAAAAAGCTCAAAAGCAAGAGGTCTTCTGCTGTTATTCCTCAGCAACTGTACTGTGTCAGTGACAATGGATAAAGCTCATTCGGCTGTTATCACACCTGGTTTGTATCTAAGGTAACTTTAGATGGCCCACTGGAATATGTCCCACTGCTCATAGGAGGAAGAGCACTATTTTTATATTTTCTCTATTTTCCTTAACATCCAGTTCCCTTACCCATCAAACCTAGCAGGCATACAACTTGTATATCAAAATAAGGCCATAGAAAAGATATAGAAGTACAAACGATTAGTAATTATGTAACTAAGATATGTAGAAGATATTGTTTGCATATTTTGGCTGTGGGACCATTTCAAAGAAACAGGTTTGCAACATTACAGTTTTTCTCCCCTCAGATATAACTAACTAGTGTTAGAAAAGCATTAGGGCAGGTTATTGTTTTAGATCAGTACACAGATGCATGTTTAATGTTTAAAGAACAAAGACATTCATTCACCAGTGAGATGGCCAGAAAAATATACAGTGTTAAAAACTGTGTATAAAAAGATTCAGTACATCATTCAAATTACTAGTATAGGGTTCAATATTTGGCTAGTGAAAATTGTTATATTTAATCCAATTCATGCAAATTGCAGATGGGGAAATGTATAATTTACAACATTTCTCATTATGTGTTTTTCATTATTAAAAATGCAAAATGGGGTTAATCTTTTTTTTTTTTTAATAAAACAGCATGTTAAAAAAGTTAGGTTATTTGAAAAAAGAGAACAAGCTGTTCTTTTGCATTTCCTATATCCTTTACACAAAGTATTTGGATATAAAGTATCAATCAAGGGACAAATAATACTAAATGATTAGAAGAATATATTTTGTTTATATTTTGTTGACTTACCACATTTTCTTGGATCTGGCAATTTGAAACAGAAATGCTGACACATAATTCTTCTGCAATGAAAAAATATATAATCCCTCCTTTAAACAGGGCACTTACTCACACGGTGTTCCATAAAGTTTCATGTTTGAATGATGACCCTAGCAATTACATGCAAAATTAGCAAGCCATTGCCAGGACATTATTGGTAGGACAATAATTAGGTCATCTAATGCCATATGGGTAGTAATTGCCAATTTAATTTAAATATGAATCCAAATACATGAAATATGGGCCTAAGCCTTTATAGCTCTTGATGGGATAAACAGAGACTATTGAAGAAAGCAATGCTAAACATGTGATTTTATTCTATTTATTTATCTGTAGCATCTTTTCAGGACATAGCTTAGATGACAGTGATGGTAAATTGTTCCATATTGTGCAAGAGAGCCACTAAACACTTCTTCCGGCATGAAAAACCTGATGTTTTTTTTAAAGTAAATATAGCTTCTTATTGACTGTCTTAAGAACGTACTTAAATAAGAAGGGTAATAAATTGGGTGGCACTTGTGATGTACTGTAACTCAAACCGGTACACATAAAACAATGCCATTCATTAAGATTTGCATACTAGGAAAGAGAATCTCAGTATTAAAGGCAGTACTGTACTTTGCACAACCAAGACTAGTCATTTAGCGGATCATCATGAAAAAGAAGCAAGCCTTTTTCCATCCTTACTGTGATCTCTTCCTTGTCCTGTAGCAATGCAAGTGCTGGTCTGAGGTGTAACTGGCATTAAAGCCTGACGAATAGCTTTCTCCCAGCTCTGCGCTACATCCAATCCAACTCCAGTAGCAGCCAAAACAGGGCTATGGTGATTGCTACCATTGTTCTCTCCAACGAAGTACACCATTGTGTCAGTTATTATTTCAAAACAGTGAGGGTTGCTGCCTTGCACCATATTTGAGAAATCCCGTGGCTGAGTCACCTGAAGAATTTCAGAAAGTGGAATCTCCTGCAGGAAATACAGAATGTTAAAAATCTAACAGGGAGAGCTCTTTGTAAGAACATGCAACAGTCAAACTGACAGCACTGAGAAAATGTAAATATTAATGCACTCAAGTAAGAACATTTTGGTAGGTACACTTATTCCAGTTCCTTATTACTTCCAGGGAATCCACAAAGTTTCAGTAAGGCAAATCAATGAAGTTGTGTCTTTGTTCAAAATCTAAATGGTATTTTTCCCTCAGGCTAATATACACAGTGAATGGCCTTTGGAATTGTCTTATGCAGCCTGGAAGACAGCCTAATTGCCTTTGAAGTTCCCAGCATTAACTGTGCCAATTTGCTTAACACTGAGTTACATATTGGAATTACCTTTCACTTTTGAGGCTATACTATACTATAAGACTCACTTTTAATTCCTTAGCAAGTTATCTGGTGCCATCAAATCTATTATTGTAAAATTGTCATATCAAGAATGGGAGGAATCTCTCATCTCCTTTGTGAACATATGTCTATGGTATATTTGTATGTATGTGCTTATGCATGAAGGTTTATAATACTGCTTTACAATTCTCCTTGTTCATAGCTATTTGTATCATGGGCCAGAACCGTCATCTCCCTTAACAGTCATATCTTCTTTTCTTCCCTCAACTTAACTCCTGATGCAAATATTCCTTCTCTCCACAAAATATTTCACATTGTCATTTCTTTCCCTCAGATTATAATTATATAAATTATAATTTTTAATGCACAAGCCAAACAGAAAGTAGCTCACTAGAGATAAACTATAAAATTACATCTCATTATAAATACACCTATGGCATT